CGCCCGCCCACCTCACCACCACCCCAAGCCGGGCACCCTGCTCCTCGGCTGGCAGGACAGCACTGGGCTCCTCGGCTGAGACGGACAGTCCCAGGTCACGGTGGTCGTAGAGCTCAGCAGGGGCCAAGGTGTGGTCGGAAAAGGACAGCCATAGGGAGAGGGCCACTTCCTGTGGGGCACACGGACACAGGCAGAGACACGCGAGGGCACGCACGCATGCACACAGAGACCACTCCCACAGAGACAGGCCACATGGAGGAGAGACCAGAGAGAAAACAGAGACACAGGCAGATGGACAAAACACAGGGAGAGAGGGGATGTGTGTCAATCACCTGCCTGCCCCGCAGCTGGGGCCTGAGTCATGGGGAGGGTCCTTAGTGAGAGCCAGCTAATCCACCTCCCACTGCCAGACTCCCGCCAGACACTGCTTGATCACGTCCAGCGGCAGAGAGCTCACTACCTCACAGAGAAGTCAGTCCTCATTCTGAAAGCCCTAAGGTACGGGGTTGAGGTGCCAGGGTTCCCTTCCTCCCATCCCCTTCTGCTGTCAGCCCCCACCTGGAAGTGTTGACTTCACCCTCCCCCCAGGCCCCAGCTGTCACCTGCTTTGGGGCGGGAAGGGCTGACTGTGCCCAGCATGTGGCAGTGATCTCCCCAGGGTGGGCAGTGCCCCGGCTCAGGGCCAGCGAAATGCCCATCACCGGCTGCACTTGCAGCTCCAGCACCGAGACCTTGTCATCCGTCACAGCCAGTGCCTGCTCTCCCAGAATGGAGTCAGACAGTGGGGAGCGCACCTGAGGACGAGAAGGAGCCCAGGTGGGGAACCTCCTATACAGACGGCCTTCCCTCAAAGGGATCTGGTTTCTTCTCCCAGCATCCTGGCGCTGTTCTCCGCCACCCTTGACACCCCAACTGTATGCCCCACCCCTGGGGGACAAGTGCCTCCTCTCTCAAGGCCTAGCCTCCAGATACCCACACCCCAGTCCTTCATGTCTAGAGGACTTCCCCCTTTACGTGTGGGGAACCTCCTATACAGACGGCCTTCCCTCAAAGGGATCTGGTTTCTTCTCCCAGCATCCTGGCGCTGTTCTCCGCCACCCTTGACACCCCAACTGTATGCCCCACCCCTGGGGGACAAGTGCCTCCTCTCTCAAGGCCTAGCCTCCAGATACCCACACCCCAGTCCTTCATGTCTAGAGGACTTCCCCCTTTACACGGCCGCCCACTGTCACACAATCCCCTCAGTACTGGTACATAGGCTGAACACCTCCCCAGGCAGCCCTGGGCCCCTCCTAGGGCTTCGCATCTGCCCATCAACTGCTGGGCGCACCCACACCAGCGAGTCTGCTCCCCAGCATGCCTGGGGGGCTCACCTCGATGGAGGTGACACCAGGTTCCAGGCCCACCAGGATGCGGCCACCCTCCAGCGAGGCTACGCGCGGGTCCTGCACACGGGCGTGCGGTGCCACGAGGTGGGACACGTCCAGCAGCCAGTCAGAGCCAAGCAGGTAGGTGAGACGGCGGCCACCGTCCAGCGGGTGGGCCACGAAGGGAACGAGGAAGCGTACCCCGGCGCGCTGGTACTGCAGGCGGCAGCTACGAGCGCGCCGCTCGGTCTCCTCTGCAGTGGCGGGCGCAGACTCCCACACTCCGCCG